TGGTTTATACTAAAGGATCCATAGATGCTTGCAGAATGAATGAGTGAAATACGTGTAGTGATGGAAGGACTTGGGACATGAGAGGACTTAAAACCAAGCCACTTGGAGGCTTGGAGGCACATGGAGTGTGATTTCATCCTATCTCACTCTCGCTTTCTATGATTCCTATGAGACTTTGCCCGAGGCCTCAATTATTACTGCATTATTATTTACTGTTCGAAAACCAACAAAGGTGAACCAATGCTTGCTTGGTTAGCTTTCTTTTTATGTGTTTTTATTGCCTTTTTTTTCTGATGACAAAGTCATAGGCGCTGCTTGTAAAGCAATTAAATTGCAGGGAGGTATCATAGGGGAAAATGAAAGTGCAAGTTTAGGCATAGAAAACACAAGATCTTGTCATATTGTTGTTCTCTGGGAGGGCACGGAGGGACCTCCTACTGTGTGATAGCCAATTTTATATATCAATATGGCTGGGTTACTGGATGCACAAATCCTTTCTAGGTGTGTCTGTGAAGGTGTTTCCAGAAGAGATTAGTGTTTGAATTGGTGGACTAAAGACTGCTAGTTAGTAAGTGGTGTATTTGGGATCTCTCCTCTCTCTCTCTCTCTCTCTCTCTCTCTCTCTCTCTCTCTCTCCCTCCCTCCCTCCCTCCCTCCCCCTCTACATGGGAGAGATTGAACCCCTATGTCAAAATGCTAAGCACATGCTCTACATGGAGTTATAATCCCAGCTTCTGGAATTCAAATCTTATCTTTTTGGGGAGTTTTATGTATCCCAGGCTGGCCTTGAGTTGATTTTCCTGCCTCCACTTCTTGAGTCCTGGGATTATGGGCATGCGACACCACACCCAGCTTCCTCTGGGACTTTGTGGCAGTACATACAGTTGGCATAGATGCCCTCTGCTGATGTGTCTTGCAGCTGTATTTTCATCCACTTTCCTCCCTCTTAGGGCTTAGGCCTTTTGGGAAAGTTCCTATATACACACAGAGACAAAGTGAAGCGAAAAGAACGGAGAAATGTGAAAGTCCCCTGTTTAGTTCTTTATGTTCACAGTTTTCCTATGTGTAGACTAAGCATAAATTATAAATCATGGACTCCAACTACACCTGCTAATTACTCTGTGCTTAACAATTCTCAGTAGACACCTTTTCTAGCCTATTTATGCAAATTTACCGTGTTCCTTTTATTAACGGAGCTTCTTGAGGACAAGACTATTGTTTAGTTCTCCTTCCAGCCCAGAGGCCAGTAGAGTTCTTGTCTAGCATGCTTGAGGTCCTGGGTTCAATTCCCAATAAGAGAGAGAGAGAGAGAGAGAGAGAGAGAGAGAGAGAGAGAGAGACAGCGAGCCACTACCATTTTCTGGCCTGGCATGATCTGAGTGCTAGGCTCTGAACTAAGCTCTTCCACATGCTATTCCATTCAGTCCTCAATAGCTACTATATGAGCTAGGTAATATACCCATTTTGCAGATGAGAAACTCAGGTGTAGAGACTTGGAGGTGCAAGGATATACAACTGGTAAATGGTGGAGCTACAATTTGACTCCCAATCTGTCCTGTGCCAAAGCTTTTGCTTTGGATGAATGAATAAGTGGTTGATGGGGCTACCCATGCCTTGGAGAAACATCTGTCTTCAGCTCCTTCTTTGTATGTGCTGGGTCCTCCCTTCTAAGGGTTTGCAGTGCTTGGAGTCAGTGTTAGCAGATAGGAAAGGCTTCGTTGGTGTCTGAAGCAATCCTGTGGTCATGCTTACTTTTCATGGGAAGTACCATTTTTGAGTCTCTTCTTCTAAAAATAAACCACAATTTGTTAGGGGCCCTTGGGGACTAACCCAGGCATTTCAGGTCAGCTATTTGCCTATCCCAGCACAGGAAATTAATCAGAACCCTACAGTCCTTCCCCTCTTCCCACAGGCCTATACTCTGGAAATGCCCAGTGCCTCTCTGCAGCTCTTTTAGAGGACTGAGGAAGAGTCAAGGACAGCTTAATACACATCCATCTCTCTGTGAGGAAGGAAAACATTGAGGCACACACATATCAGCTCTGCTGTAAACAATCTGCTAAGAGAACTCAAAGCTGTCAACTCCAAGGTGTGTCAAGATGATGTCCTGGGGCCTGCAGAATCCATTTGGGGTCTGGAGACTGGGGAATTGCTTCTCATTCTAATGACAGTGCTTTGGAGGGCCACTGTCAGCAAACAGTTTCCTTATCTCAAACATTTGAAGTCTTCCCCTATGAAATGACTGTATGGATTCTTTTCTCCCTCCCTCCCTCCCTCCTTCCTCTCTCTTTCCTTCCTTCTTTCCTTCTTTCTTTCTTTCTTTCTTTCTTTCTTTCTTTCTCTCTCTCTCTCTCTCTCTCTCTCTCTTTCTTTCTTTCTTTCTTTCTTTCTTTCTTTCTTTCTTTCTTTCTTTCTTTCTCTTTCCAGGGTCTCCATAGTCTCATGTCTCCTGTAGCCTTGAACTCATTCTCCTGCTTTTGTTTCCCACATGCTAGGATTATGGATTACAGGCCCTCACCACCCTGCCTGATAACTGGATGGGCCATCACAGGGATGCTGTGTTAGAAAATGGAAATAAGACTGATAGTAATAATATTGAAAATAAGAATGACTTCCATATTGTTTGTACCCAGTGCTTTCTGTACAATATCACAGTTATTGATTAATTGATCTTTGGAGGAGAAAAGGTTTATTTTAGCATATCGTTCCAGAGGGAGAGAGTCCTCTATGATGGGGAAGGAGTCAAGAAAGCATGGTGGCAGGAGCCTATTTTATTTAATTTCAAACTATGTAGCTGAGGATGATCTTGAACTTCTGATTTTCCTGCCTCCATCTCCTGAGTGCTGGCATTACAGGTATGTGCCATCATGCCAATTTATATGGTGCTGGGCTCAAACCTAGAGTTTCATGTATGCTAGACAAACTTCCAACTGAGCTATATCTCTAGTCCAAGGATGCAACTTAGGCTTGGCCTTGACTTGGATTTTTCCCACCTTACCTTCTTCAGCATTTGCCTATTAGCTACTGCTATAACTGGTCTTTTAAAAAACATTTTATGTCAGTGCTCTTAACCACTGAGCCATCTCTCCAGCCCCTTAAATTATTTTTATTATTATTATTATATGTATGAGTGTATTGCTCGCATGTAGGTCAGTGCACCTGTATCGTGCAATGCCAGTGGAGGTCAGAAGAGGGTGTCAGATCCCCTGGAACTGGAGTTACAGATGGTTGTTAGCTACCATGTGAATGCTGGTAATCGAACCAGGTCTTCTGCAAGGGCAGCCAGTGCTCTTAACAGCTGAACCATCTTTCCAGTCTCCCCTACCCCCCGCCTTTTTTTAAAAAAAGGCATGCTCTCACTCTGTAGCCCAGGCTTGTTTCAAATTGGTAATGCACCTGCCTCTGGAGTGTCCCACCACACCTAGCTGGCATCAATTGGATACAAGTTATAAAGTGCCCGTGCCATCAGGTACTGAGATCCTGGAGGGTGGCTTCTGTCTGAGGGGAAACTAGGAAGGCATGCACATCAGCATGAGATAGCAAGGAAGAGGATGAGCAAAGAAAGCAGCAGATGTGGGAAAGCAGTGGGTGTGCTGAGGGAAGTTTGGATAAACTTTAGTGTGTGTGTGTGTGTGTGTGTGTGTGTGTGTGTGTGTGAAGGTAGGAAGTGAGCATACCAGGCCAGGGCTTTGGCCTTTGTTCCACAGGCAATAAAGAGTTTACACAAGAGGTGTCTCCAGAGACCAACCGTACTGCTGCAGTCAGAGAGTCAGCAGACCTTAGCACATCTGTGTCCCGGCTTGTGCAGGCTGCTGGGTGCCAGCCCGTGGGAGGGCATCTGCAGAGAGAGTATCTCTGGCTTCTGGCCTGTGCTCTGCTGGGTGTGGGTCTTGGGCTATCTTCAAAGTCTCCCCCCTCCCTATCTGCACCCTAGGTACCTTGCACATAGAAGGCCCACAGTAAATATGTCGTAGAATCATTGGAGGGACTTTTTGAGATCTGGTCATTGCCTGTTCCCATTTTAAAGACAGTGAAAGTAGGGAACACAAATGGGAGAGAATATTTCCTAGAATAACATGAAGAGTTAATAAGGAGCTAGGAGACTAGATGTCCCGCCTTTTGAGCCACATCGAGCTCCTCTTCCACACCTACTGAGTAGTAAAGGCTGGTATTTGTTGATCGATTACTCCCTGGTCTACGCACTTGCCATGGATGATCTCATTTAACCCTCACAATCCCTTGGAGAGTCCAGAGTCTTGCCTTCCATTTCCACTTCCCTCAGAGCCGAGCACAGGCCCAGGGCACCTAGCTGGGGAGGCCATAAAAACTTGGCAGGGTTCAAGCCCGGGCTTGGAAGTGGGAAGGCCTAGAAGGGAGAAGGGCCGAAGGGAGGGGTGTGGCCTCAAGACAGCCCCGCCTTCCAGGACGCGGACGTCACACACAGGCCCCGCCCCTCATTGTCAGTCCCGGGGAGCCTGAGGAGGCGCCGGCCGCCGGGAGCCGAGCGCCGGATCCCTCGGCGACGGGAGCTAGGGCTGGAGCCGCAGAGGTGAGGGGTCTGCGCGAAGGCGGCGGGAGCGCGGCGCGGGA